TAGGGATTCTGGGAGTTTTGTCCCCTTCCATACTAGGTCACCTTTTTTTGTCTAGATGTGTTGATTGTCCCAGAACCAGGGGTCTGCTTGCAGTTCGCTTTTGAGTTTCGTGGTTAGATTGCTAGCAGTTTGGGCTTGCCGATCGCAGGGTTGTCGTCTGGTGGTCACTTGGGCAGCTATTTGGGTAGAGGAGACGATGGCATCTATGACCTCCTTCCGTTCACATTTCTACTGGGGCTTGTGGGAGATGGCATCAGCCAGAAAGTTCCTCCCCCTTGCGATTTGTTTTAGCACAAAGATGAATCAGTTGAAGCCCAGCGGACTTATTTGGATGATAGTTTTCACGGGGTCCTAAGGGCCTCCAGATTTTTATGGTTGGTCCAGACTTTGAATGGCCTCTGCCCCCCTTCCAGCAGGTGGCACCAGGTTAGCACTGCCCATCTCACCATGAAAGGCTCTTTTTCCCATGCAGCCCATTGCCTCTCTATATCCGTGAGCTTGTGGGAAGTGTAGACGCAGGGCTGTAGGCTTCCTCAGCTATTTTTTTGGAGTAGCATTGCTCCCACTGCCACATTGCTGACGTTTACTTGGATGACGAAGAGTTGTTTGGAGTCAGGATACTTCAACACTGGTTCTTTTGCAAACAGTTCTTTCAGTGTTTCAAATGCCTTTTGGCAGATTAGGTTCCACTGTAGGGGTTGTCCCAGGCAGGGTTTCGTTCCTTATCTTCTCCTTATCTTTAGGAGGTTTGTCATGGGTTTGGCAATCTTCGCTAAAGAGGGGATGAATTGCCGGTAGAAGTTTGCGAACCCTAAGAACTTTGTAGCTGTCTGCAGGTGTGAGAGGGCTGCTAGACTAAGACGGCTTGTACTTTGGCTGGATCCATCTCTATGCCCTAATTTGTCACTTGATAGACCAGGTAGTCTAATCGTGCATGGTGAAATTCACATTTTGACAGTTTGACACACAGGTTTGCCACTAGAAGTTTTTCCAGTACCTGGCGGACTAGAGGTATGTGGTCATTCATGGTCTCAGTGTAGATGAGGATGTTGTTCAAGTAGACAAGGACTCCCTTATAGAGGTGCTTATGTAGCACCTCATTTATTAACTGCATGAACACCGCTGGAGCTCCCTGCAGTCCAAAAGGCATAACTTTGAATTGGAAGCTCCCTAGGGGCAGTTGAATGCTGTTTTCTATTCATCTCCCTCCCTGATGCGGACCTGGTAGTATACTTCTCTGAGGTGTAATTTGATAAAGACCTTCCTCTTGGCCAGGTGAGAGCGTGTCCTTCATGAGCGGGAGGGGGTATAGATTGTGTACACACAGTCCACTTATAGCCCTAAAGTCAACGCATAATCTCATAGTCCCATCTTTTTTCTCCTTGAACAGGACTGGGGCTGTGACCGGTGGCTTGGCTGGCTCGATGAACTCTCTTGCTAGATTTTTGTCTATATATTGGCACATTTCTTGCATTTCTCAGGGCATCATGGCGTACAATTTGGGCTTTGGTAGTTTTGCCCCGGGGATGATTTCTATGGTGGAGTCTGTCTCACAGTGGGGAGATAGGACATTACACTCAGTCTCGTTGAATACCTCTGCGAGGTCCTGATATTCTCTTGGGATCTGTCCGGCCTCTGAGGTTTTGTCGGAGGTGGCTGCCAGTTGTTCAGGTGAGCTATCTGGGAGGGTTCCCTGTGTGGGCGGTGCTTCTATTTGCTGGTGAGGAAGGGGGGTCCCCTTGCTATCCTCAGTCTGCAGCTGTCCCCTTGCCACCAGATGGTCAAGCCCCACTTGTCTAGCCAGGACAGTCCCAGTATGACTGCATCTGTCATTTTGGGGGCCACTACAAATCAAATTGTTTCCCAGTGATCCGCTAGCTCTAGCCTCACTGATTCAGTTAAGTGAGTGGCATGGGCCCCTCCCAATAGGGACCCATTGGCCTGTTTGAACCAGATGAGGTGGGCCAGCCTTTTCGCTCTGATCCCCAGTTTCAGGACCATGGTTAGGTTGATCAGGTATCTAGTGCAGCCTGAATCTATTAGGGCTTGGAAAGTCCCCTGAATCCCTGTTTTTGAGGCTGTGAGCCATATTGGGAAGTCGAAAGGGGGGATCAGTCCATTCACCATTGGGTCATTTTCACTCTTGTCCTCACTGTCCTAGGAATCTGGTGACTGGTCATTGTTATCTGGGGTTCCCCCTTTCATCTGGGTGGGGAGGGACCTCTGCAGCCGGAAGGGCTTTCTGGGACGCATTGGTGGCATGTCTGGAGCACTGTTCTGGTCATGCCCTGGGTGGTGGCTCTGACCTGGGTTTCGGGGCTGGGGTTTCATACGCCGTTGCCATGGGGCCCATTCCCCCGCATCGGTAGCATTTAATTGGGCTTCATGGGAGGGCTGGTTTCGGGACTGGCTGTGGTGCTGTGGTTCCCTGTCAGGTGGGTGTCTCTGGTCTGGCTAACCTCTCTGTTTGGTGTCTAGTGGCTTTATCATGTTGTTGGTGCATAATCCCCTGTCAAATTTTATTGCCACTAGGAACCACTCAGAGAATCGGTTCAGGATGTCCCAATAGGCAGTTACTTGGGTAATTTGCTTGTCTTGGCTTGTTCTGAAAAGATGAACCAGCATCCGCTCAGGCAAAAGGGGTAGTTTCCCACTCCTGAATTTGCAGATGTGTTCTTTGATTGGTCACCCCTTCTGCTTTAGGTTGCTGAACTCATCTTCCACATCCTCTAACAGACGTAGGATATTCTGACCCACGCCCTTTTCCAATAAATCAAACACAATCCAAAAGGAAGAGAAACCTTGTAGTGCTTTTGCAAAATAATTAGGCACTGTCTGCAGCTTCAAATTCCTTTTTCTTCTGGTGAGTGAAGAAGGAGGGCTGTGGTCTTACCTGCTTCTCCTCGCTTCAAAGAGCTCTGTAAAAACTCCCCTCTGTTTTGGGCGGTATGACAGGCCATCATCCTGAATGGTGGCCCGGTCAAATTCCTCCCTCAGCTGCTCTATGATCTCCCCAGGGATTCTGTCAGGGGCTTTTGGGCCCAATCCCACATCTAATCCACTCTTCCAAGCTCGCTCAGGGGCCTTCCTCCCTTCTGGGCATTTGGGTTGGGGAAATCAACTTCAGCTGTTTTAGGGATTTTCTTCCACCAATACTCATCCCTTCTTGCTTCGCTTTTGGGGGTTGCACTCCAGTTGTAATTATGCTGTCAGCTTCTAGCTGGAGACCAGGCTTCTGGCTTTTAAAAATGTTGTGTTAGGAAGTGTTGTGCTACTGTGGAAATTTAATTATTGTGTTTAGTATGTTAATTTCCAGGTTGCATTCTGTTTGGATTGTATTGTGTAGTTTTTATTGTGTACATTACCCATAGTCACTGTGTTGGGAAATTAAAAATATTATAAACAACAACCCATTGCACATTAAAATTATATATTATTAATATTGTATTCATTGGAATATATTTCAAATATTTTAAGTACTAGGTACATGTGTACATATTAGTTACCTAGAAATTTAGAATTTTGTAGCATGGAACTTGAACCAATGTAAATAAGATCTGTGATATTGTAAACTTCTTGTGATGATCAAGATAAGATTTGAAAAAAAACTTCTACTCTTTTTTCATTTTGGCAAAAGCTTTTACCAGTTCTCAAAATAAATTGCTTTTCAAAAGAGTTTGAAAATAAACATATGAAATATATGTCAATATCATGATCATGTTTTACTGTATTTCCCCCAAAACAAGACCTATCCCAAAAAATAAGCCTTCGTCTAATTTTAAGCACATGCCTAATATAAGCCCTACCCCCAAAAAATAAGCCCTAGTGAAGGGGTGGGCATGGCCAAGCACAGGAGGCAGTGAGCATGTGCAGGCCAATAGTGTCTGGCAGCAGCCGTAGCCCACACAGCACAGGTGAGCTAATTATCTGTCCAAGCAGCAGGCGGAGGCAGAGGCGAGGGGAAGGCACGTGGTCTGGATGTGCCGCACCGACTGCAGGAAGCCGAGAGTTGATAGTAGGTGGGCAGCTGCTTACCTTAGCTTACCTATGGCCAATGTATTGCATTGGGATTGCCTACCTTCCGCCCTGTGCCTCTGCCTCTGTCTGCTGCCTGTGTCGGTATGCAAAGATGAGCCTCCCATGGCCAGCCACCCACTCTGGCCCACCTGGCCTTCCTGCAGCCCACACAACACATCTGGATCACTTGCTTCCCCCTGTGCCTCTCCCTCCATCTGCTACTTGGACAGGGAATTAACTCACCTGTGCTGCACGGGCTCTGCATCCCCAGAGTGCACTGCCAAAGGGAGTGGCGGGCTGAAGCTACTGCCAGATACTGTCGGTCCCTGCATGCTTGCTGCCTCCTGTTCTTGTGGGTGGGGTGCCCAGCCGGGCCGATCACCCTGAAATTGTGTTATAAGACCAGGTCTTATTTTCAGGGAAACATGGGTAGAAACAGCCAAGATAAATACAGGGAAAACGTAGGATCAAAAGGTTAAAAGGACAGTTGTCTATTGATGATGTATGTATATATGTATGTATATATTTTCAGTGGGATTTATTGCTGTACAATTAAATAAAATGGAACTTTAAAACTCTAATTAACCAAATCCTTTATGAGACAATTCACACAAAAAATATTCTCTGTGTTAAAATATTGTTTTTGGTGAGTTAGTCTTTCAAATAGTTTATTGTCAAATAGAATATATCTATTGAAATAATAGTTTTTTCTTCTACTTATAGTAACTGAATGGTCAGTTTACATCATAAAGGAATAAATAAATCAGTAGTTTACAGTTTATACTGTATATCAGATTGAAGATTCTCACAACTGATAATAGACATGGATGCTCAATGATAAAGATAACAACTTGATGACTAATTTTAGGAGAAAATGGAACCCATGATTGATACTTGATACCAAATGGGAAACTGTTTTTAAAGATGCTTATGTTAAATAAGTTTCATTTTACTATTTTTTTTCTCCTCACTGATTTTTTTAGTTGATTTGGAACATTTACGGACAGTAAAAATTGATAAACATCTTCAATTTTGCCAGGAAAGTCATTCTAGCAGTCATTTTGTATCAGCAAAGACAGGCGATTCTGTAAGTATTATGAATAATGTTATTTTAACAATGACTTTAAGATATTTTTCTTGTGATAAGTGTGTTTGTTATCAAAGCAAACAGATCTTTGGATTGATATTAACTTGTGTGTGTATGTATGTATGTATGTATGTATGTATGTGTGTGTGTGTGTGTATATATATATATGGCATTCAGCTTTGTTCGGGCATTTTCCCACGTAGTTGTGCTTTTAAAGTTGTAGCAACGTTTCGGCAGAATCTCATCTGCCATCATCAGGCTTCTGTATTGATACAGAATACAGAAGCCTGATGATAGAGAAGCCTGATGATGGCAGATGAGATTCTGACGAAACGTTGCTACAACTTTAAAAGCACAACTACAATGGCGTGGGAAAATACCCGAACAAAGCTGAATACCATACATGTAAGTACCCGTGAAAACTTAACAATATATATATACACACATACAATATATATATACACACATACATACATACACACACACACACACACACACACTATACAATATACACAATTGGATAGTTCAATTTTTTAAAAATAAATTTAGAAACATTTCTAAACTTCTGTTTACAAGTTTGCAATTATTGGGTACTAAAAAACAAATTTCAACAACAGTAGAATCAGGCTGCAGCATATCTCTGTGTGTCTGTGTCTGTGTCTACACTGCATTCAGAAAGTATTCAGACCCCCTTCATTTTTGTCAATTTTGTTATGCTGCAGCCTGATTCTACAGTTGTTGAAATTCATTTTTTTCTGATTAATCTACACTCAGTACCTCATAATGACAAAGAGAAAACAGAAATTTAGAAATGTCTGTAAATTTATTTTTAAAAAATCCTGAAATATCACATTGGCATAAGTATTCAGATCCTTCACGCAGTAGTTAGTTGAAGCAACTTTTGCAGCAATTACAGCCTTGAGTCTTTTTGGTATGATGCAACAAGCTTTGCACACCTGGATTGGGGGATTTTCTGCCATTCTTCCTTGCAAATCCTCTCAAGCTCAGTCAGGTTGGTTGGTGACTGTCGATGGGCAGTGATTTCAGGTGGAAAGTGAATATTCAGTCCAATCTGAGATTCTGAGTGCTGTGGAACAGGTTTTCATGGAGGATATCCCTGTACTTTGCTCCATTCAGGTTTCGCTCAACATCAGACCAGTCTCCCAGTCCTTGCTGCTGAAAAACACCCCCACCACATGATGCTTCCACCACCATGCTTCACTATTGGGATGATATTGGGCAGGTGATGAGCAGTGCCTAGTTTCCTCCAGACATAACATTTAATATTGAGGCCAAACAGTTCAATCTCTTGCTTTCATCAGACCAAGGAATTTTGTTCCTCACAGTCTGAGAGTCCTTCAGATGTTTTTCTGCAAACTCCAAGCGGGCTTTCATGTGTTTTGCACTGGGGAGAGGCTTTCATCTAGCCACTCTGTCATAAAACAGAAACTGCCAGAGGACTGGAAAAGAGTTGATCTTCAAAAAAAAAAAAAAGGTGGGGGGGGAATAGATCCAGGAAACTACAGACCTGTCAGCCTGACCTCAATACCAGGGAAGATTCTGAAAAAGATAATCAAGCAATGAATCAGTGAACACCTAGAAGCAAACAAAGTAATAATCAAAAGCCAACATGGGTTTGTCAAAAACAGATCATGCCAGACAAATCTTATTGCATTCTTTGACAAAGTGACAAAATTAGTGGACCAGAGGAATGCTGTCAATATAATTTACATGGACTTCAGTAAGGCATTTGATAAAATAGACCATAATCTACTACTTGATAAGATAGAAAAATGTGGGTTAGATAACATCACCACCAGATGGATTCATAACTGGGTGACCAACTGCACTCAACAATGGAACTGCATCTACATGGAGGGAAGTATGCAGTGGGGTACCCCAAGACTCTGTTTTAGGCCCACTACTCTTCAACATCTTCATCAATGATTTGGAAGAAGGGATAGATGGGGAACTCATCAGATTTGCAGACAACACCAAGCTAGCAGCAATAGTCAACACTCCAGAAGATAGGCTTAAGATACAGAAGGATCTTGATAGATTTGAACATTGGGTGCTATCTAACAAAATGAAATTGTGGTTAAAAAAGAAAGGTTCTACATTTAGGCAAGAAAAATAAAATGCAGAGATATAGTATACGTGGTACCTTGCTCAATAGTAGTAACTGTGAGAGGGATCCTGGAGTCCTCATGGACTATCATTTAAATATGAGCCAGCGGTGTGCACAGCTGCCAAAAAGCCAACACAGTCCTAAGGCTGCATAAACAGAGGGATAGAATCAAGATCACGTGAAGATCACTTATACCACAATAATGCCTTGGTAAGGCCACACTTGGAATACTGCATCCAGTTTTGGTTGCCACAACGTAAAAAAAAAAGATGTTGAGACTAGAAAGAGTGCAGAGAAAAGGAACAAAGATGATTAGGGGACTAGAGGTTAAAACATATAAAGAACGGTTGCTAGAACTGGGTATGTCTAGTTTTATGAAAAGAAGGACTAGGGGTGACATGATAGCAGTGTTCCAATATATCAGGGGCTTCCCCAAAGAAGAGGGAGTCAAGCTATTCTCCAAAGCACCTGAAGGCAGGATAAGAAGCAGTGGGTGGAATCATTAATCAAGGAGAGAAACAACTTGCCTCCAGGAGTTGTAAATGCTCCATCGCTGGAAGTTTTAAGAAGAGATTGGATAACCATTTGTCTGAAATAGTATAGGTTTTCCTGCCTAAATGGGGTTGAACTGGAAGATCTCCAAGGTCCCTTCCAACTCTCTTATTCTATTCTATTCTAAAGCCTAGATGGTGGAAGTGATGGTTTTTCTTCTGGAATTCTGTTCCATCTCCACACAGAATCTCTGGAGGTCAGTCAGAATGACCATCAGGTTCTTGGTCACCTCTCTTGCTAAGGCCCTTCTCCCCAGATTGCTCAGTTTGACCTGGCAACCAGCTCTTGGAAAAATCCTGGTTGTGCCAAACTTCTTCCAATGTGCTCTTAGGAACCTTCAGTGCAACAGAAATTTTATTGTAACCTCCCCCAGATTGTTGCAAAGGGTTTGAATACTTATGCCAATGGGATATTTCAGTTTTTTCTTTTTAATAAATTTACAGACATTTCTAAACTTCTGTGTTCACTTTGTCATTATGGGGTACTGAGTGTAGATTAATAAAAAATGAATTTCAACAACTAGAATTAGACTTACAGCATAACAAAATTGATAAAAGTGAAGAGTGTCAGAATACTTTCTGAATGCATTGTATGTGTGCGTGTGTGAAACTTTTATACCACCTCTTACAATATTAGGCAACACAGTATCAACAGTTGAGACCTTTAGGTTTCTGGGTTCTATAATCTCCCAGGATTTGAAATGGATACCTAACTTTAGAACCATCATTAAAAAAGCACAACAAAGAATGTTCTTCCTGCGTCAACTCAGAGAGCTAAGACTGCCCAAGGATCTACTGATACAGTTCTATAGAGGAATTATTATGTCTATCATTTGTACCTCAATAACTGTCTGGTTTGGCAGAGAAACCCAACAGGACAGGTATAGACTTCAACTGATGTTAGGACTGCAGAAAAAAACAATTGCAACCAGCCTGCCTTCCATTAAGGATCTGTACACTGCACGAACCAGAAAGAGGGCTGAAAAAATATCTACAGATTCCTCACATCCTGGACATAATCTATTTATGTCACCGTTTTAGACCATTCCATGCCAAAAAAAATAAGACATAAAGATAGTTTTTCTGTCATACCATCACTCTGCTGAACAGTTAATTCCCACACCACTGCCTCATTTCTGATCTTTCCTACTATCTTCTCCTATTGGTTTCTTACGATTTATCAGTCGTTTGTAACATGATTAATGATTGTAACTATGATTGTGACCTATTACTTGCTGTTTATGTGTACACTGTGAGCTTATTCACCAGAGAGAAATTCCTTATGTGTCCAACCACACTTGGTCAATAAAGAATTCTATTCTATTCTATTCTATTCTATTCTATTCTATTCTATTCTAT